CTGGAGGCAGCCAGCGGCGTCTCTTCAGCTGTCACATTATTAGCGACCGAGCTGTAAACAAGAGGCCCCTGCGTCCTCCCGGGCCGCTGCACAGCCGCATGCAAGTCGGTGCACGGTTCAATCCTCCCCTCGGCAGCACGGCCGGCAACAACGGCGACATTGTGAGGCCCCCCGTGCTGTCACTAGGGCCCGGGCGGCGGCTGCTGAACTGGCTCTATTCATCCCGGGCCAAATGGGGACTAAATGGCCCCTTTATGCCACCAAAGGACCCGATTGTAATAGGGATGCGCATGCATGAGCCGGCCCGCGTTTACCGGAGGTTTCTTGACTTTCCTTTGAAATGCTGGCGCTGCTTTCATGTGTTGGATGTTGCTAATGAAAGCACATGACGCGTAAAGGACTGATCCCCCCTCCTATATGTGACCCCCCTCCTACACAGGATGAATAGTCTGTTTAAAGAGGAAGCTTAATTATTGCTGGTGTGTAAATTGGGCTAAATGAATGTCAGTTTAAACAGGTGCTGAGTCAGTGTGAGGTAAACCGAGCTCACACACCTCTGACACGGCCTAGATTTAAAGGTCACACACACACACACACACGTTGAGGAAACGGGGCCTAGATCTCATAGGTTAAAAATACAAATTAATACTTTACTAAAATGAACGTTAGGTGTTTACTCGGTGCTAGGGAAGCCATGTGATGATCATCAACTCGGGGTCAAAGCGCTTTATAACCAACATGAACTCACTGCTGTGCCACGCAGACAGGCAGATAACACATTCCCGCTTTGAAGACGGTTGCTGCAATAAACTCCTATCGCCATCACCCCGCTGCGCTGCCAAGCGTCTGTGGGATTTCGTCAGAGAGATAGATGCCCGAGGCACCGACATCTAAAAACAAACGAGGAGGCCCGATCAAGACTGAGCCTGCAGAGACTCAGAGGAGGGAGGTGAGGCGTGTCATCATTACTCCACTGCTAAATCAATCTTCCGATAGGCCAGAGCGAGGTCAGTAAACTAAATACAATCAGAGTGGGATTTGGATTTCGCTGCGTGTATTCAGATCACATCAAGTGGATGCATCTCGCATTTATCAGGGAAATCAGTCAAGTAGCAGTGTTGCGTTTGGAGACATGCGGGAGAGATAGATTTAGGTTATTGGGGGCTAAAATCTAAAAACTGGACTTCTTAAACTAACATCCGGCTGCAGAAATAGCAGTGTTATTATACAAGACAGTTGTTGGAGTAGATAATAATGTGCGATGTGGTTCTGTGGGGCCGTAATGACCGCCTCTGTGCCGGTGAAACAGTACTGGGGGCCGACACATCTCTGCGGGGAGGTGATCCGTGCGCTCCAGACCTCGTCGAAACAAAAAGCTTTGTGGAGCGCTGAGAGAGAGGAGGAGGAGGAAAGGAAGGGAGGGAGGGAGGGAGGGAGGTAGGAGGAGGGGGGGGGCGGCTCTCCCGTTTCATCGCGAGGTCCCGGGAGGCCAGCACGGAGCATAGCTTCAATCAAACCGTGACGTCTCCTCCGGGAGCTGCGCAGCGCCTGGAAAACCGATCTCTCCTCGGCTCTCTGCCGTGCCTCCGCTTTTGTTCACACGCACCTCGCCTCAGCAGCGAGCGCAGCGCCGGCAGCGACGAGACTGTTGTTTTATATCCAGGAGCGAGTTTGTGAGAGAGAGAGAGAGAGAGAGAGAGAGGAGAGAAAAAAAAAACACAAGCGCGACAACAATAAGACAGACCTCGTGTCTCCGGCTGGATATTAAACACAACACGGGCATTTTCTGACGCGCCTTTTTACGCATCTTCCTGCCTGCCGTCCAACACATTAGAAAAAGGTTTGATATGCAAAAGTGGTCCCCGTGATTTTATCGACGTGCTCTCAATCTGTGCGCAATATTCCCCGCGTGGTCCTTTATTGATTCCGGATAAGAGAAGCGGACAAACAGCAGGTTAATGGGTTTAAAATGGAGGTGGCGAGGCTGTCCCTGTACGCAGCAGCAGATCCCCCCCTCGGAGCACCACGCTGACACATCCACTGTCACACATCACTCAGCATGACAATATGCCCCAGCAGGCACGAGGCTGGTGATACCTTCAGGTGCTCCAACAAAGAATCCATTAAAATAAGGTTTCTCTAGTGTTTTTAATGTTCAGAACACCTATTTGATTGTGTGGCTGACAGATGGTGAAAGTAAAACATTTGATTCACAAAGCAATGTCTGCATAATTCTAATGAGAAGTTATTTAAATTAAAGCCTTATTTTGTTCGTGTGGCAACCCTTGACCCCCTACTTACACAGCTAATGGGCCCCGTGCAATAAAACCCTGTTTTTGGAAGAAGTGTGAAGTCCTCTCGCGTGAAAAGAGAGAGGGAAAAAAAACACATCAGTGTGTCAATCTATGGTAAGCAGCCCTCCCCATCTGTGTTTCAACACCTGGAAAACAGATCAGCCCCGCACTGACTTCACAGTGCACAGTGGAAAAATGATGCGCAAAACAGTCCGACGGGGTACACTATAAATAAACTACTCGGCCCACACAAAATGTGAAGTATTTGTTTTGCGCTTCCACAACACGCACGGCTTGGGGAACAGGCTCTGGTACCAAAAGATCAGACTGAGCAGTTTAGAGAGCAGTGTCACGACCAGGGTTGCGTTTGATATGGAGTTTGTGGGTTGCTGACAAAGAGAGTGAAGACAGTATGGTAATTATGAGCAAATCACAAGACCAATTATGACAACCTACAACTGTGGCACAACAACACCCATCCAAACCTAAAAGTCTCACTAAACCTATCAGAGGATTCAGCAAAAGTCCCTATATGTCATCATTTCCACCACAACAATAAATTCAAATGAGCAAGTGGAGCCTTATCGCAGCACAACAGCATGTTACTGGGACCATTTGGTAAATAATTAGCCACATGGTCTTATGGATCACTGTTCCTAATCCTCAAATTACGCACATCTATATTCAGATCTCCCTTTAGGTTGATTTTTATCCCTTAAAAAACTACAAGATCGACATTTAAATTTAAGTAATGTATGACAAGGGCCATTTGCCTCACTATGGGGACCGAGGTTACATTTAAATACAATTAAGCTTTTATTCTGCATCAAATCCCCCTGAAGTAGCCTCCACCCCCCACCGGTTAATCCCCCCCCCTTTGCTCTGTTCCCTCGAAAGGTCCCAACACGAGGTCCTGCTCCCCCAACCTGCTCCAGCGTCAGCCGCCTCTGCGCTATAGGAGAGATTCTCTACTGTATATCCTGCGCGCATTGGCTGCCGGGCGGCTGAAGTGGTCTTTTAGTAGCTGCTTCCCTCACTAAGCTCGTCAATGAGCTGGAGCCAGCCAATATGAGGCACATCGATCGTCCTAAGAGAGCGTCCCCTAATTAGTGCCTGTGTGGCTCCAGGACAGGCAGCAGGCGCGGCGGCACGGGGAGGAAAAACTCCCGCGATATGAGCGGTTGGTTCTCCTGCGATGGGAGAGTGTGGGCACCGACAAAAGTCATTTCAAGACAAATGTCTCCTCTTAAATGCTACTTTGCTGGTCGTGAAAAATGCAGGCTATACGCAGCCCGCAGGAGCTTTACAGAAGAAGGAGACGATTCATTTTTGGATCGCGTCCAACACGCCTTGCAGCACTTATTTCAATTAAACAGCAACTATAAGAAGTGGTTCATACTGATCGCTGCCGCCCACAAACTGGTGCAGGAGGCAAGAAGTGAAAATAAATGCTTTAAAGTTGATAATGGCAGAGTGGCGGATTTGGATAGAGTGGTTTAAAATTCGTGAAAATCTCACCAAGCTTTCCAAGCAATCAGGAAATTATAGTGACTGTAATAAGTGGCACTTTTAAAACTAATAATAAGAGTCTGGGGTGCCACTTTCTCCCATGTGAGAGCGCTGCGCGTATCGTGGCTGCAGGGGGAGGGGGTCCTAAATGGCGCTACATGACTGCTCCGTGCGCCAAGGATATTCCCCCCGCAATGCAAAGACTAGTCTCGCAGCGAGACTGCGTGCGAGTGGAAGACAACATAGCTACTGCAGCGCAAAGTCATATCGGAGAACACCTGCAAGACATGAAGTGTGTGCGCGGTGGCAGGATGCCAGAGCGGTTTCCATCAAGTCGACAGGAAGGTGAGCGGTGCAGTCCCGTCTCTTCCCCCACACACCTTTCCCCTAACACTGCCTCTGGGACTGATGAGACGGCTGATCAACGTCCACTCTGTCCAAACAAAGCCCCCCCACCTCTCTCTCTCACACACACACCTCCCCCACGAACACACAATCAGCTGCCACACCAACACACACACACACACACACACACACCGCGGGGATGCCCTCCAACTGAACTGAACCGTGTATAAACGGAGCAGCACCGCTCGCTTCCCGTTGGCAGGGCGAGGCTGGATTCCGTAACCTTGTTTAGCGCAGAAGCTCCGTGTGCGCGCACGCACACGCGCACATACACACTCCCACCGTCGCCCCACAGGCTCTCACACACTTCGTCACTAAACAGAGTGCGAAAAGCCTGAATATTCACCATCGAGGACGGCGCCACTTTCAAGTCCGCTAATCTCCGGGACGTCCTTCTCACCTCGCTCCGGTTGACAGGACAGTTGTTAAAAAAAAAAGGCCAAGCTCACGGTCGGATCATTATGTGTGTGTGCGCGTGTTATTTATCAACCACATGTCACTGCCCCGCCGAAACGCACAAAGACCACCCTATGCGCTATTCTTAGAAGTGGCCGATCCTCTCCCAGTCTGCGCACAACAACACCGGGCTATCGCCTTCACATCCAGCCGCACAGGGAGACTGTTTTTGATTTTAAACACATTATATAAAACACACATGATCGTTTTAACCCAATTTGGCTGTTGTGGCACTATTTTAAAAGAAGCAGAGCTCTGTGCGTTTTGTGTCCTCACGCAGGGGATTTCACATCTTGAGAAAGAAAATACATTTCGATTTGTCATTGATTGTCTCACCTGGTTAATTGGTGCTACTTCCAGCCGTCGTCCGTGCGCCCCAACTCACGCCTTTTCCCTGTTTTTCCCAAGTTAACAAGGACAGCGATCCGTGCGTACGTAGACGAGCCCGGGTTACGGTCCTGTCTGCTGGAGACACACAATCCCAGCCAGAGGAGAAAAAAGCAACCAAAAGTGTCTAACAGGTTATCCACTTGTCACGAAACAAAACAAGACTCACATATAAAGCTCTGGGTCCTTATTCTATTGTCTATAAGCAACTCTCATCCATTAACCTATATTTGAAGCGGACTTTTTGCTGCTGCAAATGTCACTTGGGTTGCCATAAAGCAACAAAAAAAAGATCCTGCGCGGAGGAAAAACAAAACGGCAGGATGTAGAGAAATCCACAAAAGAAAAATCCGTTAAGGTCCTTTAAGTGGGAGAGCCGACGTGCCGTGCGGCCCGGGCCCCCACAGGATACAGGTGGCGAGGTCGGAGTGACTCGCGGAGAAATTAATTCAGCTCGGCCGTACCTCGCAGCAGCGCCATGTTGGGTTTCAGCGGAGCACGCCGTCCTCGGAAAAAGCCCCTTTCTCCCGCTCTCCGTCACTCCATGTCCTCTCCAACGCCGGAATCCGTGTCGCGGAAGGTTTGCTGAAGGTTATTCCGTGTAGCTTTCCGTCCCGCGTTTTGTTCGTGGAGCGTAGAGAACACCCCGGTTCGCACCGGAGGACGCACGGAGCTGTACGGGGAGTGCCGCACAGAATGGATGAACGCTGCTGAGACCGAGCGACTCGCTCCACTCCCACTCGCGCAGACTCTACCCAGAAGGCCAGTCGGGAGACCGCAATTACCATAAGCCTCCAGCGCACGGCACTGGCTGCGCGCGCGCGCACGCACACACAGAGACACACACAGAAAAACACACACACACACACAAGCTCCGCTGAAACTCCAAAACAGGAATAGGCGAGGTTTAAACAGCAGAAATAAGGCAGAAAACACACCAGACATAATAATGTTATAAAGAATATAGAAAATAGGACACGTAATAATCATAAAGCAAATGTTTAAAACGTTTTTCAAAATAAGATATTTGAATAAAGGAAAGTGTGCAGATACAATAGATGCTCACATATATTCCCAAATAAGAAATAGTTTGGTATAAACTGAGTATAGGAGATGGAGGACAGCCAGGATGTACACTGTAACCAACTGGGTGTTCATTATATCAACACTGGTACAATACTGGTGTTGTTCTTGCACCATAGCTCCCTAATTTAATCCAGATTTCTTGTATTGTTCATATTGCGTCTAAAAAATACAGACTTTTAAATTAAACGTCACTTTTGTTGCTCTCCAAACCAACAGATAAGGTAAATCTGCGAAGCACGAGGCAATAGCGAGGGAGAGGCAGCTCAAGGCTGGGGCACATCTGTTAAGGCTCCCATGTCAAGTGAAGGAGGAGGAGGAGGGAGGCTATGAATATCAAGCCTGAGGTGTGTGTGCATCATGCGCCCACATGTGTGTGTGTGTGTGTGTGTGTGTGTGTGTGCGAGTAGGGAGAGAGAGAGAGAGAGAGAGAAAGAGAAAAGCCAGCCGACAGACACAGAGACACACAGACAGACAGAAGCAGAGTAGGAGTAGGAAAAGAGAGGGGGACTTGGAAATGGAAGGTCTGGCTGCGTTCGCCACAGCTGTTGAAAGTAGGAGTTAAACCAGACGGTCATACACAAACAAACACAAAGCTCACAAAGTGCTCGCATATGGGCGCATTAAAAAGCAAAGCTCATCTTGAAGGGCATATTATCCGAAAGTTTGGAGAGAGGCTCAAAAGAAGTGAGCGGAGAGAGAAGAAGAGGAGGGTCTGGGAGATGAGAGGAAAGGGAAGCAGGGTAGGAGAAAAACTCCACCTTCTCTATCTGGACACAACTGCAGCGTGCGTCTGATTTACAGTCACAAGCCAGGGTCTTATCAGCACCATGCATCTACCTCTTATAACTGGGAGCTGCCCACTATGACCACAGCCACTAAACCACCAGGCAACTGAGATTTTGTCAACACTAACCTTGGCTGAATCTGTTACAAGGACACAAATCCACACCAGCGTTCAGGTAGATTTTATCCACACTAAAACACCTAATCAACAGGAAATTGGTTTGTCCTTTTCTGTGGTTTTAAAAACTACAAAGCTGTGCAGTGACCTGGTTACTCTGAGTCTCAGCTCTCTTCAGTTCTACCTCCTGTTCTTTATGATCACATATACCAACACATTCTCACGCCTACCTCATCACATATCGACGCTTGGTCATGGACTTTCCACGTCCAGACATGACATGAAAGGTACCCTGAGTGGTTTGGTTCTTGAAGATCTGGGATGCCATGTCAAGTTCTGCCTGTTACATGCATTGTCTTCTTTCAAGACACACTTCTGTTTTCTCAGGAAATTTACCGTTTACATACAGTCTCTTTCAAAATATACACACTACGTCAGTACGACAACGTGAATGAATGTTGTTATGCCTCCAACAACTAATGCATGTCCTAAGGGTTAGGAAAAAAGAACAGGCTTTGGCAATCATACGGGACACAAACATTGTTCTCCCGGGTGAAAGTCTGTGTTTGTTGGGCCCATCCACCACCATCCATTGGAATTGGGGGGTTAGATCACCACATGATTCCCGAGCGCGGCACCGCTGCTGCTCACCGCTCCCTCAGGGGATGGGTCAAATGCGGAGAACAAATTTCACACATTCAGGTGTGTGACAATCAGTGGAACTTTACCTTTACCTTTACCCTGCTTGGACTTTTGCGCCTTAACTACAACGGTGACGACATTAAAGGACAGCTTTTTACGTCAGTGTCTGATGCCACAAGTTACTGCCCAAGCATTGGATTTCGACGACTTCAGAGTGAGACTGGGTTGCATATATTGTGTTTTAATAGAGCCAAACTCACTATGTAGTGACAGCCCAGTCCTCAGATGAAAAAGTTGACATTGTACATTTCTGTAAATCACCACTACCAGTATGTTACATTTGCATGTTTCATACGTATCATATCAATGTTTCTACAGTGAAATTAAAGGCCAGATCCCTGCCAAGGTGCTGACCACTGTTCGAGACCAACAAACAACAAAACCAGTTGTGTTTAGCGAGTCATTGCTGTTTTCAGCCCCCAAATGTGGGCATTTTTTAGCAACCCATTGCTATTTTTTCAGCGGGGACAGTGCCACAAAAAGTGGTTGTTTTTTATCTCTACCTTTTATGCTGGGATCGTGCCCCCAAAACCAGGTATATAAAGACAAAATATGATCTTTTCCTTACCATGACCAAGTTGGTTTTGTGCCCAAACCTAACGAAGTTCACAACAGCATTGGTGAAACATCAAATGTCAACGTATCTGCAACATAGTAACATACAAATGTAACATAGCCTCAATTGTGTTATCTCAAGGATGGACTACTGAACAGGCCTATCGGGCATAGGCCCAGGGAAGCCTGGTCTCACTCGGAAGTTGTCAAAATCCAGCGCTTGGGCAGTGACTTGTGGTGTCAGAAACCAACGAAAAAAGATGTCCTTTAACGCCAGCATGATACGCGGCTGGTTGCTGTTATAGTTCAACGGCAGCATCAGGGGGAAACGCGGCGGGACAAGGATGAAAGTTAAGGTGGGAAAAAGTCCTAGTGGGGTGAGTGGGAGGGGTGGTGGATGGGTCCCACAGACACCAACTTTCACCCTAGAGAACGGTGTTCACGTCCCATAAGATTATAAAGCCAAACCCTGTTCTTTTTTCTTAAACCCAATAATATGTTGTGTTATGTTGTTGTATGTGTTGTTGAAGGAAAAAAATATAATTTTGCAGTGTTGTACCGACATAGCGTGTTTATTTCCTGTGGAAACAGAAGTGTATCTTGAAAGAAGACAATGCATGTAACAGGCAGAACTTGACACGTTGTCACAGAACGTCAAAAACCAACGCACCCAGGGTACCTTGCACGTCATATGTAGACGTGGAAAGTCCATGATGAAAACGTCAATATGTGACAAGGTCTGAGTGAGAATCTGTTGCTCAGGGACTGAAAGTGTCAGGGGGCCCCCCTGGCCTTCACCTGCATGATGAACCAAAGACAAATAAACACATACCGAGTCAAAATGACCACAAACGTATGCAAATGAATTGCAAAGAGACAACATTACCACAAAGAGGAGCAAAACCACCACAAGGTCTGTGTCTTACTCATATTTACGAGAGGTGTTGGGGCCTTTTGCTTCTCTGTACCAGGGGCCCTTGTCTCTAAATATGCCCAAGGGTTGTCTAATTTACAGACTCTTCTATTTTCAGACAGCTGGAGGAGCATAAAAGTTGTGAGTTGTTTGCATCTTATAGATGCTGCTCGTTACAGTAATGCCATGTCCAGACAGACAGATCTGTCTGAAAATAAAAAATCCTTGTTCATTTGGGTAAGGCCAGTCTATCTGCCAACACAAAGGGCCTGGGAAGAAAAACAAAACAAAACAAAAAAGCAGAGTCATCTGGCAAAAAAAAAAAAAAAAAAAAATCTGGCTCAACTTTTGCCAAACTAGTCTGGAGCAACTTCATCTGGCAAGGCACTATGGCAACGTGATGGTGGTAACTCCTGTGCTGCTGCACCAACATGTCAATCAAATCAGTGTTTTATTACCACAAGGCCCTCTGACAAAGAAATTATGAATGCAGCTTGGTAACAACAGCTGTGCTGTGTTATTGGCTGGTTTGACATTTCAAATTAGTGATTGTCTAAAGAGACAACAGAACATTGTTTTTTTATATTTCACTGCCACACAGCCCTGGACCAGCCTCGGGTCATCATTGTCCAAAACCTCTGTATCCTCCAGTCACAAGAAAACACGCCAGAAGTGTCAGGTTTATCCACTCTGGAGACATTTTCAAAAAGCTGAGTTTTTTAAAAAGAAAGGCCAGCTTAGCTTAGTGAGGATTCAAATGTAGTTGGCTAAAGTGGACATTTAAGTATCAGGCTGACAGTAAGGACAGTGTGACGTATCCCGTTAGACAGACTTTCTATTCAGGTTTCAGGGTGGTGACGGTGCTTTGGATGTGCATGAATATTTCTAACATGAGCGGCCCCACCCCATGAGAAATACACTCAGTGAAACAAAACTGAACTTGCCTGCAACAGAAAGACAGTCTGCTGCCACATATAATTTCATATTCACTTATTGTGCTGTTTGTTTCCTCTCCATGCATAATGGATATGTATGAATCTCTAAGAGGTGACAGTATCTTAATAAAAGAGTGGTAAAATTTTAGAACAGCATCAAAAGTAGCTCTAAAGATTTGGAGGCATTTTCATCCAACAAACTCAGACTCAGCAAGCCCAGACTCCAAAGTGTGTCGTCTTTAGAAGCTGACCACAGGATGAGAAGTAAACAATGGGCACGAGCACAGAGAGGGCAACCAATTTTCATTTTGTTATGCAGTCACATGGCAGCTGGCACGCCAAGAGCTGCACTCATCCGACCGGCATACCTGCACTCTCCGCAGCGAGAGCAACCCCGCGTTTGGTTCTGCTAACACATCCTTTTGTCTATGTTAAATATGCCAACATGTATTTCCCCAGGAAGGAAGCCGCCATCTTTAGCGTTGGCAGTGCGAAGTGTCATGCTCTAAACATTTAGCCACACAGCACCATATGTCCCATTCACTTCCCCTGCCCAGATTTTTGCAGGTAGGATCCAACCTGGCAACCCTGCTCAACTCCACAACCGACTGTTGGTATTGTTAGTGGAGACAGTGGGCCATGAAGAGATTTTATGTGCTCCTTTCAGA